TGAAGTTGTTTCTAAGGAAGTTGAAAACTTGCTGGAACAGACAACACTGGGTTACTAAGATTTATCCTCATGGGGTTGTCAACATTATTAATGAGTAAAGTGGTAACAACAAACTAAAGCGTTTGCAGCCTAATTTTCTAACACTAAGTTTTAAAAAAAAAATTCAAAAACTAAAGCATTTATTGAGAGGCAACCTAATTTTCTAACACTAAGTTTAAAAAAAAATTCAAAAACTAAAGCGTTTATTGAGAGGCAGCCTAATTCACAAACTAAAGCGCTTTTAGTTTTGTTTTCTTTCAATAATACTAGTTTAAAATTTTGTATTTTAAAGTATTTTTTTCGTGTGTACAAATTGTTAGCTGTGAAAATCATTGTAAAATTGTTGTTTGCCTAAGTGTGTTTTTAATTTGAAAAATCATTTGTTTTGTTGGATAAAATTCTTATCTTTTCAAAGTAAATTTTTGCTTGGAGAAACTTATCTTATGAAAAACTGAGTTGATAAAAATAGATTATTGATTGAAAAACTTTAGCTTTTGCAGCTTGCAATCAAGACATACAAGGCGGCCCTATTTCATCTAATACGTGCAAGGCAAATAAAGAAAAAACTGGATCCTGCATCCAGTAGCAGATTCATCCATTGACATCAACCACAACAGTTCTAAGACGATCATATTGCATAAATTTTGAGCAGTTCAAAGCAATCGAATTTCACGCAGAGGACAGTCAGAGTAGACAAGCAGATATGGGTTCCTAGTCTTTCATATTGGAAGAAGTTCTAGGGTTAGTCTAAGTTAACCCTAAATCCTAGTCGGCAAGCATGGGTGTATGTATGGTACATTGCAGTCTAACAACTAAGTATGGCTGTCATAGTTGTCATAGTGGTGATATCCTGAAAAATCACAGTTTTTTGAGAGAAGATGGCAGTACAGTTTAGTGAGTTTGTGATTTTTTCAACAGATAAAAGCTGAAAAGGGAATGAAGGAACATATAGGGCCTCAGACTCGACATTACTAGAGATCAAATGTATTTTTCCTTTCCCTACAACCATGGCACCCTTGCGATTAGCAACTGACACTTGGGATGGACGTGAAAGTTTTTTAAAATCATACAGATTTGTGGACTTGTTGGTCATATGATCAGTGGCTCCTGAATCTATAATCCAATAATCATGCATATTACCTATTTTAAGCGCAGTTGAGAAGGATTGTAAGATACCTGGAATATCTTGTTGTGTCACGCCTTCTTTCCTAGCCAAAAAACTAGCAAACTGCCCAAGTAGAGCAGCTGGTTTGTTGTCAACATGACTGGTTGATCCTTCATTCTCCCCACCACCTTGTTTCTTGTGAAGGAAGGCAGCAAATTCATTATCAGCATGGCCGGATTAGAGGTGAACATCTGTGCTTCCTCGGAATGAGAGGTCATAGTATGATTTGCCTTGGGTGATGAGTTGTGTGCTCCTCTAGTGAAGCTCTTGTTGCTGTCCCTCGAATGCTTGGGCCTTAGTTCAGGATGGAGAATCCAGCAATGATTTCGTGTATGTCCACCATTATCACAATAGCTACACTTCACAGTGGGTTTCTTTCCTTTATATCTCCTCTCTTCACTAGCCCTGTGATTTGAGAAATATACCCTAGATTCTGGTATATTTGACTTTAATTCCATAGTCATGATTTTTCTGCGAGTTTCTTCCCTTTGGATAGTGGCACACACACTTGAGAAGGAAGGAAGTTCAGGATTCATGAGAACATGACTCCTGAGATCTTCGTATTTAGAGCTCAAACTTGCTAGGAGCTGAAAGATTTTATCTTCCTCAGCTCTCTTGATCAACACGGCAGCGTCAATGGTGTGTGGCCGATAAACATTCAACTCATTCCACATGGTGGTCAACTTGCCAAGATGATGCACAAACGAGTTCCCTTCCTGTTGTAGACTAGCAATATCCTTCTTTAGCTGGAACACTCGAGCTGCGTTATTTTGATTTCCATACATCTCTTTGAGATTTTTCCAGAGAACGTATGAAGATTCCGCATAACTGAAGATTTCTGCAATCTTTCAATCCATAGAGTTGAGCAGCCATGACATGACTAGCTGGTCCTTGCACAGCCAATCATTGTAATCGGATGAGGACACATCAGGTGCTGGAATCACGCCATTAACATAACCAAGCTTCGATCGTCCTCCTAACGCAAGGGAGACAGCTCTCTCCCATGGGAGATAGTTGAACTCATTTAGTAGGACCGAACTGAGACGTTGATTTGGATTGATATCAACGTCTAGATGAGATGAAGAAGACGCAGCATGCGAGTTTACTTCTTCGCCATGCACGGAGCTCTCTTCAGCCATGATAGAGAAGAAAGGGAAACAGGAAGACAATACTCAGAAGCAGGTCGATAGAGATCACTGCTCTGATACCATATTGAATTTTGAATGTCTATTTTGTATTATGTAAAACAAAGTACAAGGAAAGCTCAAATAAATGAGCGGAAGAAAGGAAAATAAACAGAAGCAGAAAACAAGGAAAAGTAAAGCAGAAAACAAGGAAAAGCAAAGCAGAAAACATGGAACAACACTTCCTTGATTTATGCTTTACCAACAACTAAAGGTCTAACAACTAAAGCAAGGTGGAAATCCAACTATCACCACTATGACAACTATGACAGCCATACTTAGTTGTTAGACTGCAATGTACCATACATACACCCATGCTTGCCGACTACTGCAGAACACACCACCAGTGGCACCTGATGAACTTATCTTATCTGAACCCTCAAGAAGTCCTTCCAACCAAGAGACTGCTCAACTACCAGTGGTTCAACCTCCCACAGTTCGTCGAACTCCTTCTTGTGAGAGGAGACTCCCATCCAAGTTAAATGATTATGTAACTTACAATGTCAGGCATCCCTTAACTTCTGTTATTAATTACAGCAAAGTGTCACCTTCATTTGCTGCATTCCTCAATACAGTTACTGAGACCTATGAACCTCAAACCTTTCAAGAAGCTAAATTACATAGCGAATGGAGAGCTGCTATGGCAGAAGAGCTTCAAGCTCTTCACGAAAACAACACCTGGACCATCATGAAGCTTCCTAAAGGAAAGAAGGCTGTAGGAAGTCGTTGGGTGTACAAGATCAAGTTCCATTCAGATGGCACGATTAAAAGACACAAGGCTCGATTGGTTGCTCGTGGATTTACTCAGACTTATGGAGTAGATTACAAAGAGACCTTTGCACCTGTGGCAAAGATGAATACAGTGAGGGTGCTGTTATTTGTTGCCATTAACAATACATGGCCTCTCTTTCAAATGGATGTTAAAAATGCCTTTTTACATGGGGAACTAGAAGAAAAAGTTTTCATGAAAATCCCTCCGGGTCATCCTCAATCAAACAATCCAGACCTGGTGTGCAGACTTCATAAAGCCATTTATGGCCTCAAGCAAAGTCCCCGAGCATGGTATGCCAAGCTCAGTCATGTCCTAGAGGGAGTTGGTTTCTCTCGGAGCAATGCTGATTCCTCCCTATTTGTGCGATCGGGCAAATCTGGTAAACTTGTGGTGCTTATTTATGTCGATGACCTAATTGTTACAGGTGATAATGTTTCTGAGATTAGTGCTCTTAAACAATATCTCAGTCACAAATTTGCTATCAAAGATCTCGGCACTCTTAAATATTTCTTAGGAATCGAGGTGGCACATTCCCACAAGGGCTGTTTTCTAAATCAGCGCAAGTACATCATTGATCTTCTCCATGAGGCAAACATGACAGATTGTAAACCTGCTCGGACACCTTTGAATAGCAACTTGAAGTTGCAGTCTCATAGTGATCTCATTCCTAATATAGAGTATTATCAGAGATTGGTTGGCAAGCTTATTTACCTAACTATCACTCGTCCTGATATATCATATGTTGTGAGCCTTGTTAGTCAGTTCATGCATGCTCCAAACACAGATCACATGAAGATTGTTCACCGTGTGCTTCGCTATCTGAAGGGTTCCATTGGTAGAGGGATCCTTATGCACAATAATGGTCATACTCAGATCTCGGGATATACAGATGCAGATTGGGCAGGGAACTCTCTCGATCGCAAGTCTATCACGGGTTTTTGCACATTCGTAGGGGGTAATCTTGTCACCTGGAAGAGCAAGAAACAAAGTGTGGTTGCACGCTCAAGTGCAGAGGCAGAATATCGTGCTATGGCATCAATGGCATGTGAACTCACTTGGCTCAAAACTCTACTCTCGGATCTAGGGTTTCCTCACCCGCAACCTATGTCCCTTCACTGTGACAATCAAGCAGCAATGCACATCGCATCAAATCCTGTCTTTCATGAGCGAGCTAAACACATTGAAGTTGATTGTCATTATGTTCGGAATCAAGTGCAGTCCAAGGTAATTGCTACACACTTCATTCGCAGTCATGTCAGCTAGCAGATATCTTCACCAAAGGACTGGCATTTACTACTTTTCATCATCTCCTATCCGAGCTCGGATCAATTGATCCCTTTGATCCAGCTTGAGGGGGAGTATTGGAAGAAGTTCTAGGGTTAGTCTAAGTTAACCCTAAATCCTAGTCGGCAAGCATGGGTGTATGTATGGTACATTGCAGTCTAACAACTAAGTATGGCTGTCATAGTTGTCATAGTGGTGACAGTTGGATTTCCACCTTGCTTTAGTTGTTAGACCTTTAGTTGTTGGTAAAGCATAAATCAAGGAAGTGTTGTTCCATGTTTTCTGCTTTGCTTTTCCTTGTTTTCTGCTTTACTTTTCCTTGTTTTCTGCTTCTGTTTCTTTTCCTTTCTTCCACTCATTTATATGAGCTTTCCTTGTACTTTGTTTTACATAATACAAAATAGACATTCAAAATTCAATATTTCATTGAATTGCTAGGTCTCTAAAGTCATTCCTAATCTCGTTTGTCTAGCAGTCAACTCCTATGCATGTTTCTAAACACAGTCACAGCAAACAGCAGTTATAAAGTGAGTTATCAGAAAGCATACCAGGGCAATTCCGATGAAGCTTATGGACTTGGATATCCAGAAACAACAAATTACAATCAAGGAGAGAAGGGAAGTTAGAAAATAATTGTGAGTGATTAAAACAAAAGGCTCACTTGGCAACTGAATGGTGTCTAGAACTGCAGGGTCCGGAAAGAAATTCATAGTGAGCTTGACCTCATCAGACAAGGTAGTATGCTCTCTCTTCAAATCCTAAAGCATGAGAACAAAACAAGAAACGTTTAGTGAATTTGTCGAAAGATTCAAGACAGAAAGAGTATACAAATGCTTCCAATCACTTTCTGAGCTTTCCTCAAAGCGACATTAACAAAAAACAATGCTAGAACAATGAATTACCTGAATTTTGGTAGCCAAATCAGTGATCTTCTGGAAAAATGGAAGGACCATCTGACATGGAGAACCTTGTTGAGTTCCGTTCCGTTCGATGTGCTAGTCTCACCAATCAAATCAGAATCTGGAGTACATTCTGAAAACAATGATATAATCAGAGCATGACTTCAACGAAACCCCAAAAATTTTCGATTTTCTTACAACTCAACTACTCAATTGAAATTCAAAATGTAACAGTTTAGTTGAAAAGTTTCCTAATTTCTTTTATAAAATTAAAGACTAAAAAACCAAGAATTGCAGAAATTACCCACCTTTGTCGCTCACGTCACTCTCCAACTTTGCTGTAATCGCTCTAGGGTTTTAAGTTTTAACTCCGCAGACAAAGAGGGATGAAACCGAATCAGAAATTCTCCGATTCTACATTTTCTTGTGCCGGAAAACAAAATTAAAACTATAAGAAGCTGCAATAATCGAATCCAAACCTCAAATTCAACATTTTCTTGTAATTCAAAAAATTGAAAAGTGGGCAAATTGAATAAATTAAAGCAAAAACAAGAACCTGCTACAGAGGTTGAAGAGGGCTTGGAGTCGTGATTTGGAACGAAGTCTTTGCAGTTTTGGGGGAATATTTCCACCGTTTGACACCGCTCGCTCCACGATTTAACAAAAAATTAAATAAAAAACAAAAAATAATTGAAGAGAGGGAGAGAGAGAGAGAGGACGCTCAGGAGTGTACCTTCCATTGAATCGAATCACAGCAAGAATGCGAGTTCTAGAGAGAGAGGGGGGGGGGTTGTGAATTTTAGACGAAGATCTCGGAGAGCTAGAGAGAGAGAGAAAGAGACCGTTTATTTATAGGACCGGAGGGATCTGTGAGGGTAGTGTTCTGATTGCATTCAAGTTTGAATTGAGTGAATCTGAGCCGTCGGTTTAAATGGACCAATAGTCCCCAGTCGGTGGGAAGGCAAAACTATGATTAGTTTCACGTCGTCCGTGTTTAATAGGATGCAACATTCACGTCGTTTACCAGTAGAACTAATTGCAAAGGGTAATGTTAAGAAGATCAATTTTTAAATTAAAATTTTGACGTGATTATTGATGATTATATTATTACTTAAGTGTTGATTAATATACTTATTTTCTAATGGTGACACATTATATTATTTGTGAATTTAATCTAAAAAATTGGTTTACGTAGTATTACTCAATTGCATATACACTTTGGAGTGTGGTTCTACTTTCTAATAAGGCGATAAAACTTCTAATTAGAAGGAAAACTCAACGGATCTCTAAAAGTGTCCCATAATTATGATTTTAGATAGCAGACTAGGACAAAAAAAAAGAAACTTCAGGATAGTAATCTAATATTAACCCTTTCTTCCATGTACCAAAAAATGTGAGGTTTTTTCCTTCCTTTTTTTTTTTTTTTTTTTTTTTTTTTTTTTTTTTTGAGAAAAGATCGATGGATCCATTGCCCACAAAAGAATAATGTTATTCTTACCACAATTTTATACCACATTTATTTACCAACTTAGGTGGCAGATAAGTTGGACAAGCCACATCATTTAATTTCAATTTTCTTATTAATTAAAACACTTAAATAAGGAAAATTGCATACTTCAAGTCTCCCACTAGCGTTAATAACTTAATTGGGTATGACCCTGATCCGATAAACAAATTTGATTTTGACTCCTAATTCTCATGAAAGCTAATATGCATTATTCAATGAAATAATCAGATGAAATCCTTCTTTTAAACCACAATTTTTTTTTTTTTTTTTTTGAAAAGAAGACAAAAAAATCACGAGATGAATAGCCATGGTGGACCAATGAAGATTGGAGACGGAAATACTTGAAGCGGAATGAGGACTGGGGCTACGAGGCATGAGTCTGGAAATAGAAATCAATATAAGGTGATTGTGGTACACGAGTGAATTCTATAAAGTTGATCATAATCATGGAAATCAACATAAATTAATAAAAAAATTGCCGTGAAAAAGAAAGGGAAGGGAAGAAGAAGAATTGAAGGGGAAGGAAGAATGAGACTCTTTGTATACCACAATCATCATTTAATTAACCATCTTTTTATTAGTTATTGATTAATTAAATAGTTTTTTAACAAAAATTAAATGCTAATTAATTTAAATGATGTGGTTATCTATATCAGATGTCACCTAAGGTGGTATACAATTGTGGTACAAAAACATGGTAAGAATAACATTATTGCCCACAAAATAGAGAGATACAACCAAAAGCAATTACAACAAAGCTTCGCCAAATAACAAGTATGGGATTAGATCCAGAGGATTTTCATTCCAAGTACAATTGATTCCCGAAAGAAAAGCAAAACGCGCTAGGCAATGAGCAATGCCATTAGCTTGACAACGAACATGGATAAAAGAAACTCTAATGACATTAGCTTGATGACGAACATGGATAGAAGAAACTCTAATGACTATGGCAATTAACGACTTTGAATCTTCGATAATATATGCCCAGCGACTGACAGAAGAGTCGTGAAGCGCAGCAATAATCTGGAGTTTCTAACCTGAAAAAAATAGGAACGAGGTATTAGATGATGTTTATTCAAATCAACAAGTTTTTGCTCAATTGAAATGTGTATTCCAATGTGAGTTCTAACATAAAATCATTTACTTGTCGGTAGAGTAAGTAACGATTTTTTAAGCACTTCAAGACTTCCATCTTCAATGTGCGGAACTCTCAACACTCCTTTAGTTGTGAAGTTTTGTCATGCCCCGGACTCGGGGTCGGTAGGAAAATACGACTCTACGCTCAGCATGAGAGTAAAAAAAATATATAAAAAAAAAAACAAAAAACTAACTTCTCTTATACAAATAGCTTCAAAAGCCTTTACAAAAATAATAAAAACTCTTAAAATCCCTCGTCTAACACAACCTCAGCTCTTCTACCCTATGTTAATCTTGTACCAAGTCTGCAAGGTCTAAAATAGTGTGAGCAAAACCACAGCTTAGTAGGAACATAACTCTTATCAAGGATAATTGTCAAGGCTAAACCAAGGTTCATGCAACATGTAATCAATTTTAACATGTTATCAAACACATATTATATTCCATGAATGCATCCTAACTTCAATTACTAAGCCCGTTAATTTATAATAAAACACGCGAACCTACATGTCTCATACCATGCATTTTACCACTTCAGCGGTGGTCTGAATGCTCTATTATTTAAACTAACCCCCATAACTCAATCATCCCAAATTTCCCATTTTGTTTGTCATCTTGTTCTCTTCTCGGTCGCTAGAGTCTTCACTACTTCGTACCATTCCTATAATTTCACTTTTGCCACCCTTGCTGGTCCCTACGAGACTCGAACTCAACCACACAAAATATAATTCCATTTCCATAACCACTCAAATATTCCAATAAAGTCCATCCGCTCCAATATGCAATGACATATGCATATAATCAACATTATCAATATTAGTAATATGAATACCATATTCCAAAATACACAATTATATCAATTGTAGAGATAGATCAAGTATAACACATATTTCACAAAGCTTAAACAAGACAAATACCCCAATAGTGATAAGTTTCCCAAGAAACCCCTACATCAATTCCATAAAGCTAAAACGAAGAACCACGTCATTACCGTAATAGTTAAACTCCATGTACTTGAGCAAGTTCCTGATCACTCCTGACACCATGCATTCCTTCCACTCTTTTCTTTCCTAATCTCTCCCTAACATATATATAAACATCAGACCTTAGCTTGTATGCAAACTAGCCCCTTTCACGATATTAAACAGGAGCATATGCTCCTATTTATAGTACAAGAATAACGGCAAAACAACACATCCTATTGGATGAATTGGTAGTAAGCACACCTGTCATCTCGATGTGGATAAATGTTTGCCAGATATCCACAGCTCATGCTATGACTATGACTCACCTACATATCCCATTTGCATGTAACTTTACTGACACCTCCTAACTTAATCCGCCAGCAAGCTAAGCACATAACTTGGTCATCTCCAAGCAGCACACATAGTGCTAATCTAGACCATTCCAACCCAAAAGCTTGGAATGCAATAGCTAGTAAGCATAAATCATTGCATGCTACATGCATAACGTCTAACTATAGTCATTCTAATATCTGTAAATAATACATAAAAATATGGGATCTCATAAGTCTACTAAATTTAACACATGTTAACATTTTATTATGTAACGCGGGAGCATGTAATTCTTAAGTACAACAAATAGATAATCGTCACTAATAATTTGGTAACGTGAAAGTAAAGGCACGTGGTTGTTCACTTGTTCCATCACTATATGAGAATATATCAAACACTAAAATAATGAAAACCCAAACTTGGCTAACTCTCTTTTGGATTGGATTTCCAAATCAAATGGATTTGGACCATAGTTGTGAAGGATAAAATTCGATTATAATTAGACCGGATGAAAGATACACTAAATGGAATTCACGTCCTATGGAAGACCTTATCACTACCTAACCAGTTAGTTGCTTAAATTGTTATGCTGATAAATCAAGTGATCAAAATGTGAAAGAAAGAACAAAATTAGGAACACTAGTACTAGCAGCCGTCAAATCTCGCCCACTAAGGTGTGGAGCGCTTCGTTTGATACAAATGTCTGTTCTCATTCCTGTTTGAGATTAGGATGCATCTTATATCATTTTAAGTTAAGTTAGTTCAGATTTTCATAATAATTTTTAAGCGGACAAATTCTATGGTTGATCAGCTAGATCAATAGTCACAATTATTTTAAACTGATCTAATATGATTGTCTCTGATGTCATATGTTGACGATCGAACATAAGATTGCGTTGAAGCCTATATTTTTTGTTCAACTAATACCAAGTTGAGAAATAATTAGACTCAATCAACAAGATGTGCATGTGTCGCCTCTGAAACATTTTGATTAATTCAACATATATAAATAAGCAATCCCGATTTGTTTCATAATGTATGATTTATTATTCAGCTTGATCATGCCGGCGAACACTCCAAGTAATCCAAAGATTATGGGACACCGTACAATGCACAAACTTGAAGACCATGATTATTATACAAGTTTTCTGGTCAATCAGTTCATTGGAATATGCAGCCGCCCAAGCATTTAGAAATCTTTATTTATTTTAATGCTTAGGTTATTGGATTAGGGCTCGAGTTGGCATTCAAAAAACAACAAACACTTGCCAACACTTTAGACAAATACTGGGGATCGAATCTACACACCAGAGTTAGATATATGAAAATAGATACAAAAGTTCATTCATCAATTGTTTTTTTAAAAATTTTTTATTTATTTTAAGATAGCTTTTGTGGGTTAAATTTTTAGTTGTTAAGGGAGAGAGAAATCAGTAGGATCAACCCACACCAGGATGTGTCGGCATCATTGCTTTCCTTTATTGCAATAAAGTGTCTTATGCAAACTTCATTCATCAATCAGTATATATAAAGGGAAGTCAAAAATCTCATTTTACACTCCTCACAAATGTATTTTTCTTTCTAAATATAAAAAATTTGGAATGTAAAATGAGAAATTTGGAGTGCCAATAACAATTCTCTATATAAAAGGCTATCTATAGTCTACAACGTTCAAGCATCCTGAAATTGTATAAACTTTAATACACCATTTAATTGATGAACTCTTTATTCAATGAGTTGCAAATGTGGCTTACACGACAATCCTATCATCAATTTTATCTAAGATCAAACAATCAATTAGGCCAAACAATCAATTATGCCGAAAGCATAACTTCATACAATTTCAATACCTTATGATGTAATATAAAAAAAAAAATTTAAACTTTGTGTCCCATGTTAAAAACTAAAACAAACTTAAAGTTGTGAAACGTAATTAGCATTATATCAAAAAATGAATGGGGAATTATATACCAATATCTTTTTCTTTGTGACAAAAAGAAAAATATTCATAGTTTAACTATACAGACAGCTTAATTAAACCTAACTTAATCTACTTGGATGCGTTTATTTTGGTTTTCCATTACCAACTTAGATATGTCACCATTTTTAATTAATTCTTTACTAGTTGGTTATGTGCACATGATTTACCATTGTCAAAGCAAAATATTCATTTTCTCGTTTCAAGTAACTAAACATATAAAGTATTCGATTCTTTTTTAGGTTTTTATCACTAATGATCCTTGAGATTGACTAAAGTCATCATTTTGATCCCTCACTTTTATAATCAATCAATGTAGTCCTTGACATTCACCACCGCACATCAATTTGGTCATTCCATTTAGATTCCGTCAATTATTTCTGTTAGTTTGTATGTGGGACCCACAAGTCCAATAAAATGGTGACATGTAAATTACATAAAAGAAATTTTTTTTATCACAAATAGTCACTGACATTATTCAAACTCCTCATTTTGGTTATTGAGTTTCAAAAATCAATCAAATAGGTCTCTAACTTTCACTACTGCACATCAATTTAGTCATTCTATTAAAATTTCGTCAATATTTTTTGTTAATGTGATAATATGGTCCCACATGGATTAACTATGAAAAAATATTTTTTTTAACATTTAAAACTAAAAGTACTATAAGAAATTAAAAAAAAAAAAACTAAAAGAAAAAAAAAGACATCATCGTCTTCATCTAGGTATGCTTAAAAAGAAAAGAAAGGCACCATGATAGCACTAAAGCTCTTGTCCTCCATGAACTCACTTTTTATTCTCTCTAGTTGGTTATAATCCTATCATATTTGAATAATTTGGATTCGATTTTATCGAATTTAGATTGAATTTTATTTTCTAATTGGGATTGGGGGATGCGAGAGAAATGTCAGCGTGGAATACTTGTCAGTTGGTTCACTCTAAAAAAAAATAGTTTCTTATAGTTAATTCACTTGGCGCCATATGATTGGATTAGTGGGACCACATCAGCACACTAACAAAAAATATTGATGAAATTTTAATAGAAGAACTCTATTGATGTGCGATAGTGAAAGGTAGGGACCAAATTTATCGATTTTTAAAACTCAGGGACCAGAATGAGGAGTTTGATCAATGTCATGAACCATTTACGATAAAAATCTTTCTTTTGTATAATCTATATGTCACCATTTTATTGGGTTTTTTGGTCCCACATACAAATTAACTGACAAAATAGAAAGGCAAGCTATGAACATCAAAATAGACAGGAAGAACTTAGCTCTTTATTCCATTTGTTAAATAAAGTCACTAATCCATATTAATCAGCATCTTCTCAGCAGGAAAAGTGATCATCATGAATCTTGATAGCGCATATATCACCTTGATTATAATCTCTTTTTCTTTTAATTTACATAAGCACAACTCACACGTTTGGCATATATCTTGAGAGAGAGGTCTAGTTTACGAGAACAATTTAAATGAAATGAGTTTAATCTCAATAATGTAATGTATTATTAGACTCAAACACTCTAGTAGCGGTAAACCAATGAAACACATAATATTATATTTATTGAACTAAAACGTCACGGTGACGATAATCACACGTAACACATAACATAACATTATTAGATCAAACGCCATAGTAACACAATAAAATGGATTAATGGCTAATGATGAAGCTTTCCAGAAAAGGATCATATAATTATTATCAGAAAGTGACGTCGTCAAGAATGCAGCCGAGCACCAAAAAACGAAAGGGCAATATTACCAACACAGCTACCAGCTACACCACCACCACCATGCATGATGGGAACTTTTCCGAGAAAATTTATAAAAGTAAAAATACTTGACCTCCATTTGACGCAAGGGAAAGAGATGTACAGTTTTTAAATTCTTTAATTTTTATCTGGTTGGAAAGTTGGGGAGCCGGATCTGGCTTTTGGTTGCTTCAGCTCCAGCAAAGGAGATCATCACTAATATATGTACGTATATATATACACACACAGAGTTTTTAAGGGAAGAGATTTTCGTTTTTTGTTTCTGAAAAAAAAGAAAGAAAGATAAAAATTAGTGTGGGACTCATTCTACATTGAAATTCAATGATTTAAATGGTCTATTTTGTAATTCTTTATTTATAGATCATCTATGTAAAAATTCAATCCAAAATCAATTGCCAATGTAATTATCATACTGAAATTTCAATGTTTCTTACAACGTCAGCACACTAACAAAAAGTTTCATGGAAAATTAATGGAATGATCAAATTGATTGCAAGACCCATTTTGGCATTTTCAGAAATCAAGTTGATGAATTTTCTATGCCAGTGATCATTTTGAGTGGAAGGTCGAATTCAAGAGGCCAACCGTAATAAAAACGTATGAAACTTAAAAATCAAATTAGGAAATAAAATGAATGAAAACAAACTTGGAGCGTTGTAGGGCACACCGCCTGATCCCAAATTCAAAATCAAGCCTTACCCGGGCAACAGCCAATGAATAAAATAATGAAACAATCACTGAAAAAATAATTTAACTGTTTTTAATTTTTTTTAAATAAGATTTATTTCTGAGAAACAAATGTATAAAGATTTCAAGTATTTCTGTCTCTGGGTTTCTTGCTTGTAGATCATCCATCTTCCTGCTCGTTGAACCAACGGCTGAGATTTCGCTGTTAGCTTTGAATGCAATTCATGGCCCCACACAACAACACTTTCTGAACTCTCTCTCCTCTCTCTCTCTCTCTGCTTATTCAAATAGTTTTCAAGAGACAGATTTAGTAGTCTTCATTTCCCACAAGATTACAATACAACTCCATCCACTAGTATTTCAAGGGTTCATTTGGATTTTTCACATTTGGGTTTTTGAAATCCGTGCTCAATTTGTATACTTGGTGGATTGGTGGATTTTCCCTTCTGGGTTTCTGGAGAAACATATCTAGGGCACCAAGTTTCACATTCTCACGAATGGGTTGCTTTTGTTTTCGCCATTCTTTTCTGGGTTGTTCTTAAAATTGTTTGCTTTTTCTTTTTACAAGTGTTGGGTCGGTGAGATGATGAAGTATTGAAGTTGACAAGTGTCGAAATTTTCCAGAGGGCAAAAATGGTGGGCACTGCGAAAAATGGGAGGGTCCGGCACGCCTTCTCGGTGGTGAACGGGGGCCAAGAGTTGGGTCCGAGCAGCGCTCCGGTGAGTAATGCCGGTTCGGAGAGCGGTGGTATTGAGTTTACCAGAGAGGATGTTGACTCACTGTTGAATGAGAGACCCAAAAGGAAGGACAGGTTCAGTCTCAAGGTCTGAGCTTTCACTTCTTAATTTAATTTAATTTTTATTATATATATATATTTTTTTTTTCTTTTTTTTTTTTTGTCTTTGAAAATTGAATGTATTGAGTTTTTGAACTTTTATTTGGATTAGTTTACCTGAGATGGGTTTTGGGTATTTTTCAATTTTATGTTGATTGATTTTCTAGGAAAAATGTGAGACTATGAGTGAGTATATTAAAAGGTTGAAACTTTGCATAAAGTGGTTTCAAGAGCTTGAAGAAAGCTACTTAATTGGGCGCGAGAAGTTAGAGAATGATGTGGAAGTTTCAGAGCGGCAACGGGATGAAATGGGTATGAATAACAACTTTTGTGTCTTTGAATTCTCAATGAAGTTGTTTACTAGAGTAATTATACTTGTTTTATTGTAGGGATCTTACTGAAAAACAAGGAAGAAGAACTGAATTCGATTATTGCGGAGCTGAGGAAAAACTATGCTTCTTTACAAGAGAAATTTACGAAAGAAGAGTTGGATAAGATGGTAAGTAGGGTGGGTTTGATATCCAATCTGGCTGAGTTTGGTTAATTTCTGTAGATTATTAAATGTTTGGATATGCCTATCAGGCTGCAATGGAATCTCTCGCGAGGGAAAGAGAGGCTAGACTTGAAATTGAGCGATCACAAAATTCCCTATCGGATGAGCATGGGAGAGTTCAAAGAGAGCTTTCAAGTGCTACACAGAAGGTAAAGTAGAATATGCATGCCTTTCCTTCTTTTGCCTTTATGTTGACAGGTATGGAATTCCTTACAAATGTTTTAATCTGAATGATATTCTTTTATGAGCTCCGCAGATAACTTCACTGAATGATATGTACAAACGATTGCAAGAATACATTGCAAGCTTGCAACAGTACAATAGTAAACTGCACAACGACCTCTCTACAGTTGAGGAAGACTTTAAGCGCGTAGAGAAGGAAAAAGTTAGTATGGTGGAGAACCTGAGCATGCTAAGGGGTCAACTTTCAGTGTCCAGAGTGAGTTTATTATCTTGAATTGTTTCTAATTGCATAAGGAATTTCGCTTATTATGTATCTATAAATCTGACTTCTGTGTTCTCCTAAGTAGGCATGTATTGAAAATTCTACGTAGGGTGTTGTTATTAGTATGTTTTATGACTCACATTATGATCAAATAATCTTGAAAAAGTTCTTTCCGTGTTTTGTAGTCCTGACTTTTGTTTCTTCGGTGCATTTTAGATTTTGCTTCTGAAAATGAACTGTTTCAAACCTTTATTTGATGGATGACATACAGCAAACTCAAGATGATGCTATAAAGCAAAGGGATGCTTTGGTAAATGAAGTTGCATCCCTTAGGATGGAGTTGCAACAAGTGAGAGATGATCGGGATCGTCATAAATTCCAAGTGCAGAACCTAACAGCTGAATATACAACATACAAAGAATCCACCGAGAAATCTAGTTTTGAGGTGGATAACCTCAAATCAAAATATACCAAACTGGAGGTCATTTTATAATTCTTTTCTGGTAGTTCTGTGGGTTTTGCTTCTAATAGCATTTGTTAAGATACTATAGTGGCGGTTATTCTTCAGGTAAGATGTCTGTCTCAGACTGACCAGATAAGGACATTGAAGGACCAACTAATGATTGCAGAGGAGAAAGTACAGGTGATAATATCTGGTTCTTTTGTGACTACTACATTGTTGGTGTTGTTCAATGCAATGTTTAACATCTTATTCATCATGTTGATTAAACTTTCTAAGTATAGATATGTTTTCTTCTAGATGTCCAACTTAACTACACTGGAAACAAGAACTGAATATGAAGGGCAAAAGAAACTTATAAGTGAGTTACAAACTCGCCTGGCAGATGCAGAATTCAAACTTATTGAAGGAGAAATGCTGCGTAAAAAGTTGCACAACACTATCTTGGTAAATCTTTTGCCTTAGCTTTTTTATCTGCTACTTCTGCTATCAGCTTGTAAATTCTCTCGTTCTATAGGAACTAAAAGGGAACATCCGTGTATTCTGTCGAGTGCGACCTTTGTTGGCGGATGAAGACGTAAGCACTGAAGGGAAGGTTATCTCTTATCCAACATCAATGGATGCTCTTGGACGGGGCATTGATTTAGTGCAACCTGGTATGTTAAGCAATAGTAGATAGCTTTCTCTTGTAGGCTGTCCTATTCTGTGTTTTTCAAACTCACATATTGCCTGTATTTGTCATCAGGGCAAAAACATTCTTTCACATTTGACAGAGTTTTTATGCCTGAAATATCACAAGAAGATGTGTTTGAAGACATTTCACAGCTCGTACAAAGTGCTCTTGATGGTTATAAGGTGATTAAAAGCCTGTTATCTTGTTTAAGTTACTCTTTGCATTTCATCGAAGCAATGCCTTTGTCATCTAGTTTTATCAATTTCATTTCAAATTTGTCTTATTAGTTTCGGTAGAAAAGCTTTCGATTTGTAATTTCGTAGCAACATTTAACTTTATATTCATGTTATACTATATGCTTCATCTAGGATCTTTAATTTTTTATTTATTTTTTTCATGCAATATGTGAAGATACTTATAGATGCATGCTGTGTATTTGTTAGAATGTTATATGTTTTTGTTTCCTTTATTACAAATTGATAACCTGAAAGTTGTATGGGCAGTGGAACATATGGTGCATAAGCACACGCATGTTATGTGCTTGACTGTCTTTAGGAGTGTGTATTGTATTTGGTTAGGAATTTGGTAACATGCATATTCTTTTGCATTCACTTTATTGGTTTTATATATCCGTTCAGCGATTGAATTGTACACTCTTAGCCTAATGATGGTGGCTTCTTGTTTCAGGTTTGCATTTTTGCCTATGGTCAGACAGGATCAGGGAAAACCTATACCATGATGGGTAAACCAGGAGATCGAGACCAAAAAGGGTTGGTTCCTCGTTCATTAGAACAAATTTTTAAAACCATACAGTCTCTTCAACCACAAGGTTGGAAATATGAAATGCAGGTGGGGGGAATCTCTCTCTCTCTCTCTGACTCACATTCACACAAACAGTTATTTTGCTGTTAATGCATTAATGAATATATTCATTTCATATGTAATTTTCTTTTTTGTTTGACAAATATTTGTAGGTGTCGATGTTGGAAATATACAATGAAACTATTCGTGATCTGTTAGCACCCAATCGATCATCTTCAGATATGTTGCGAGAAAATGGTATTGGTGGAAAGCAATATACAATCAAACACGATGCAAATGGGAACACTCATGTCTCTGATCTTACCATTGTGGATGTGTGCACTGCTAAAGAGGTCTCATATCTCTTAGAACGGGCTGAGCATAGCAGGTTTCTAAATCTAACTATGTGCCTTTTTTTAGTTTTGTTTCGTTGGAGAAATTTAGTTGTCTATAAGACTACAACATATAACTAGTCTTCCAATGCATATTTCTAAATCCTTCTTAACTTTCCCCAGCAGTACCAATGCTTGACGGTGGGGATCTAACTCTAACTCAATGAAAATTGGATTTGCTGATTTTTTTAAAGGTTGAAAATTGCTATTGAAAGAAGGCGCTTACTTATGTTCCACTTGGTTCCTTTCAGGTCTGTAGGCAAAACTCAAATGAACGAGCAATCTTCAAGAAGCCATTTTGTTTTCACACTACGGATATCTGGTGTTAATGAGGTAAGCAACATCCATTTTCTCTGCAGATACTCTTCTGTATGCAAAAATTAGTTTTTTGGCCTTATCTTTTTTCATATTTTCGTTACTGCGCTTACTTTTCTTAACTTATCATCTCATCTTAGAGCACTGAACAACAAGTACAAGGTGTTCTGAATCTTATTGATCTTGCTGGGAGTGAACGACTTTCCAAGAGTGGGTCAACGGGGGACCGACTGAAAGAAACTCAGGTATTTTACGTTAACCTTCTTAGTCTATTTGTTTATATGTTTCTTATTTTTCCTTTGTAGTAATCGTTTTTCTCCTGAAATCAGGCCATCAACAAAAGTCTGTCATCTTTAAGCGACGTGATATTTGCCTTGGCAAAGAAGGAGGACCACGTACCATTTAGGAACTCAAAGCTTACATATCTTCTTCAGGTTGTTTACTTGTTCAAGTGATATGTGAAAACGATTTTAAGTTTATTTTTAAAACATCCTATCATATTCTAAACTCTTAATGAAATTTTGACCAGCCATGTCTAGGAGGAGACTCAAAGACATTGATGTTCGTAAACATTTCTCCTGAGCCCTCCTCAGCAGGTGAATCACTCTGTTCCCTTCGTTTTGCCTCAAGGGTAAACGCTTGCGATATTGGGGTTCCACGGCGTCAGACCAGCATGCGGCCTCCAGAGTCACGTATGAGCTATGGTTGATCTTTGATCCAAGACTTCTTTTTTGATTTAAAAGTAACCGCTGGTTTGTATTATGTACTAGTAGTACCGTGAAGCGAAATTCAAGAGTTATTCTAACGTAGGCTTGTCTGTATAGTGAAGAAATAGGATATGCGTGCCAGTAAATTCGGAGAACTCTATTCTAACTAGTGATTTGATTGAGCTTCATTACTCGATAATCTTTTTCCTCACGAGTCTTCTGTAGTAATGCATGATTGCTTGTTGAACGTCGATGAAGTAAAACTGACTAGAAGCGAAAAATAGTCCGCCCTCGGTCATAATCTTGCAAAATCATAACTCATTCGTCGTGTACAAGTTATATGCTTTGAAGGAGACTTACACATCGGTAGAAAAGACTAATTTTTCTCTATCAGATGAACAGGTTTTAAGAATTCACGCCATTCGATCCATGACCTCTTGGAGAACAACTGTTGTGTCTTTATAGTATGTTTCTGTCCGAGGGAGGTCGCGTTGCTTCACGGCGCCATCAAGCTGTTGACAAATTGGAAGAAACAAGTTAAAACTTTTTCAAGCAGCTGCATAGGATCTAAGAAGTTATGTGTTTGTTTTATCGTTACCTTTTCGACGGTGTCAAACAATCTGTTAGCAAGATCTGTGAGGGGTTGTTTCTCGTCGACTGGTGCTGCAGAGATAACTTGGTCGAAATCAAAGTACATGAATGTGGATTTCAGCCGCAGATACCTTCGGACATAGTTTAGTGTATCTTTTGCAATCAAATCCGCCATTGCCAGGAGATCGAATGCATATTTCTTAAGCCTGAACTTCCTCCCTTTGGTTCCAATATTTGCCATGTAGAGTCCCCTCTTCAGAAAAGATCGCGTTCCCGTTTTCTCATTTGCAATTTCTGCATCAAAACACATGGTTGGAGTGAGTGACAATGTAGCAAATGCTGTACCACTAAACTTCTCAGTACAAAACTTACTGTTTTGAGCAGAAGGCACGGGCAGAGGGCCGTCGAGCCAGAACCCGTTGCCCTCAGCAAGAGAGACACCATTGCAGAAGTTGCCAACAAGTGCAACAGAGGCCAGGCCTAATGCAATTCTTCTTGTAGTTTGTAGTGGCTGTTCCTGAAAATCATCGCTTTTCTTGCCCGTAAAGCAAATAATGCTCGCTTTCTTTCGGGTTGTTTGTACGCTCGGAAACCTTGGAAGGACCGGCAGTGTTTCGGAGACTCCATTTAAGTTTGCCAAGCGAGCCATTGCAGAAGAATTGGCTGAGAAAATGGCAGTCTTGAACGAACAGAGATAGTGGATTGGAAAGAATTTGAGCTATATCCTTTTCAAAATTGCAGGTTTACTACTGACCACCAAAAGGATATCCTCATATGGGATGATTTGGTCAATGTAACAAGGCCCGGTGATATATGCATAAGCCCATATGGGCCCAGGTCAGAAGATTTTACAAACAAATTATTGGCCTGTGTTTGGGACGTTTACCGTCAGGAAAACCATTAACCATTGGTTTCTTTTTCACCCTCTGTTTTTCTTCTTTATAACCATGAATATCGAACCGTTGATTTTTCTGCATCCATTAAAAGATCATGCTTAAAAAACAATCTGAAAAACGAGATCAAGTGAAAAGAATAGAACGTAAACAATCGATGATTAAATATAAATAGAGTGTTTATGGATTATGGTAAAGAATTTCGGAGTTGACCTCTTCACAATAGTTATAAATCTTGTCGTTACGAGTAATTGTATATTTTTTTGTACATTTTCTGATTTTCCATATTTTTTATGTTAATTATTATGAATTTTTATTAATTTTGCACTCAAATGATAAACACTATTCATGATGATTTGGAGGGTTTTAAAAATCTAAACGACAATGCAACTATCGTCTAAGCGCAGAGAATACAATCATGAGCATTTTATATATTTTTTTCACACATTTACATTAATTATTATGAATTTTTGTTTATTTTGAACTTCTCCTAAAAGCCCTGTTCACGAGGGTTTATAGGTTTAAAAATCTAAACGACGATGTATCCATTGTCACAGCATAGATAATGTGTTCATGAGCTTTTGCTTTTTTATTTTTTTATTTTTTATTTTTATTTTTTACATTTTTTACAATTGTAAAATTAAATATTATGAATTTTTTAATGTGCTTTGGTATTTTTAATTTTCTTTGAATTTTTTTAATCTCACTTATAGTAAGGTTTTCTTAATATGCTCTGAAATTTTATGTGAGAATAAATACATTGTAGAAATGTTTTTAGTAGTTTAAAATTAGCAAACTCAATTTTATCTTATCAGATTAAAATGGGTTATTCACTCATAATCTTGTATAACGATCTAATAAGTTATCATATTAAATTATTAATCTCGTTATTTTTATGATGTTTCGAGTCAACTTAACACGTAAAAGAGATATTGTCTTCCTGATGGTTAAGACTTCCTTTCCACGCCATTAGAAGAAAAAGAAAATATATAAAACAAACGAGATTTAATAATGATTTGGAATCCGGACCCAACATCACAATAAAAGAGGCCTTGTCCTAAGATTTCCCTTCCACGCCATTTCTTCCGCTACCATGAATATCGAACCGTTCATGTTTCTGCATCTATTAAAAGATCATGCTTAAAAATAAATTTGAAAAACGAGATTCGGTGAAAAGAATAGAGCATAAACAACAATCGATGATTAAATATAAATAGCGGATTTATGGATTATGGTAAAGAATTTCGGAGTTGACATCTTCACAATAGTTATAAAGCTTGTCGTTACGAGTAATTGAATTTTTTTTTTTTTGACATTTTCTGATTTTCCACATTTTTTATGTTAATTATTATGATATTTTTATTAATTTTGCACTCAAATGATAAACACTATTCATGATGATTTGGAGGGTTTTAAAAATCTAAATGACAATGTAACCATCGTCTAAGCGCAGAGATTACAATTACGAGCATTTTGTATATTCTGTTCACACATTTACATAATTATTACGAATTTTTGTTTATTTTGAACTTCTCCTAAAAGCCCTATTCACGAGGGTTTATAGGGTTTAAAAATATAAACGACGATGTATCCATCGTCATAGTGTAGATAATGTGTTCACGAACTTTTGCTTTTGTTTTTTTTTTTTTACATTTTTTACAATTGTAAAATTAAATATTACGAAAATTTTAATGTGCTTTGGTATTTTAAAATTGCTTTAGTATTTTTAATTTGCTTTGAAATTTTTTAATCTCACTTATGGTAAGGTTTTCTTAATGTGCTCTGAAATTTTATGTGAGATTAAATACATTGTAGAAATGTTTTTAGTAGTTTAAAATTATCAAACTTAATTTTATCTTATCAGGTTAAAACAGGTTATTCACTTGTAATCTTGTATAACGATCTAATAAGTTATCATATTAAATCATTGATTTCGTTATTTTTATAACGTTTCAACTCAACTTAACATGTAAAAAAAGCATTGTTTCTTAATGATTAAGACTTCCCTTCCACGCCATTAGAAGAAAAAGAAGATGTAAAACAAACGAGATTTGATAATGATTTGGAATCCGGACTCACAGTAAAAGAGTCCTCGTCTTAAGACTTCCCTTCCACGCCATTTCTTCTGCTACGACTCACTCTCACTCTCACTTCCTCGACCTCGCTTACACTTGGAGAGCGCGTGATTCACACCACCCATCGGGAATCTCTCCCTCCGAGGCACATTACTCCTTTTCCGACTACGATCGGCGTTGTTCATCAGGTAATCGCTCACTTTTCTCTCTCTACCGTCTACTTATAAGAGGGGTTTTGAGGGTTTTTGTTGTCAATATTCAACTTTTGGGCGTAGCAATGTGGATCGGAGTAGAACTTGTGTTTTGATTTTCTGTGTCCAGAGCGTTAGATCTGCCACATTTCTGTGAATGGAGTGGAAGCTTACTCAAATGTTTTAGGGTTTTGGCTTTTATTATTATGTGTTGAGCGTTTGACCTAAAAATCTTGTTTTTTGCTCTCTGTTTGGTTGATGGGAAAATGAAGAAAGGTAAAAAAAAATTCAAGGGACAACTGGACATGGGTTTCCTTATATTTTGGTTAAAATCATGTCAAAATTATTATAAAAAATAAATAAATCGGAAACGTAGCTGTGAGGAGATTACACGCATGTACATTATTCTGTGAATATTTTCCATATTTTCATGGCATTTTTTTTTGCTTAAAACAGTGTTGCAGAAAAGGGATTGTTTGGTACGATGAGTGCGAGAAGAAGTGGTGGAAATTTCAAAGGAAAAGATGTCTCGGGAGGAAGTAGCCCCAAGATCGAAGAGTTGAGTCATGGTGTTGCAGACGTGAGCCTGGGTTCGGCCGAGGGTGACGGAGAGTGGGAGGTGATTGCCAGGAAGTCAAAGAACAGAGCTGGAAGCAGTGCTGCAAGACAATGGGGTGCTCAAAATTCTAATTCTAAAGCTTGGACACCGGTCGATGCTCAGAAGCCAATGCGGAACAATGGTGGATCAGGAAGGGGTGCCGGAAACTTCTGGCCTTCACAAACTTCTAATACGAGAAAACCAGCGGGAAGAGGAAATGCGATTCCCCCTCCACTGGACCATGGATGGAACTGGCAATCCAGAGCTGGTTTCACTCAACCCAGGGGTTCAGAAGATTTCCACGGAAAAGATGACAAGGACAGTGATGCGGCTGCTGCTGATGCTGCCAATGATGATGATGACAACTCTGATGCTGCGGGTGATACCGACGATGAGCTGTTCAGTGATGAGTTTGACTCGGATTCAAGTGAAAAGAGCCATGAAACTCGAAAGAATAGCAGATGGTTCAAGAAATTCTTTGAGATTTTGGATAGTTTAACCGCTGATGAGATTAATGATCCTGCTAGGCAGTGGCACTGTCCGGCATGTCAAGGAGGTCCTGGTTCCATTGATTGGTACCGAGGCCTGCAGCCCCTGATGACACATGCCAAAACAAAAGGATCAAAAAGGGTAATGCTCCATAGAGAGCTTGCAGAGCTTTTGGATGAGGAGTTGAGGAGGAAGGGAACTACAGTTGTACCTGCTGGTGAAGCGTTTGGTAAATGGAAAGGATTGAAAGATGAGGAAAAAGATCATGAAATTGTCTGGCCTCCTATGGTTGTCATCTTAAACACTAAACTTGAGCAGGATGAAGATGACAAGGTATTAATTATGTTTTTCAAATTGGTATCTCAAGTATTGGT